CGGATGCGGATGCTGATGCGGATAATGTGCAGGCACAAAGCGAGCAATGCTTAAGCGTGAAGCCTATTAATTCTTCAGTAACCACAGTGGATATCAATACGTTAACGCCGTCGACACCCTCACAGACGCCGCCACAGCTGCTGGCAGCTGAAACAAGTGCAACAACAACAACATCGGCAGCTTCAAGTGGGGCGACATCTGCAACAGCCATACCAGAGAATATATTATCGCCGCCCAAGTCGGAAACACAAACGGATGAAACGAATACGGCCACATCGACCTCTTGCTCTCCAGCCTCAGAGGGTCAGAGGTCGCCAATAGCAGAAGCCGAACTACAGCAGCAACCAGATAAGCCAGCACCAAAAGCTGAGGAACCGGAAAAGGCAACCACAGTTAATGGCACCATACCAAAGTCGGGCAAACCGCTGGTAACGGCGCTCAATAAGAAACTAAACAAGTCAGCCACCACATCGCCTCGAGCCTCACGTGCGCGCAAGCCGAAAGCTCTGCCCATGTACGAAAGCGAAATCAGTGACCATAAAGTTGGTATTAAGCTGTGCATTAAGAAATCGGATGCAGCTGCTGGCGGGACAGAGCTGCCAGCTGCAGGTGCAATAGCAACTCCAGTAGCACCTTCACCGAGATCAGCAGCGTCAACAGCCAAACCTGCACGTAAACGGGTACGTAAGCCGAAGCAACAGGATAGCGACGAGAGCGAATACGAACCACGTAAAAAGAAGGCCGGCGGTGGCAGTAGCAATAACAGCGAGCGTCAAAAGCGAATAGCAAATGCGGCAGCTACAGAGGCAGATGCCGAGCCAGTTGAGCAGAGTCCCTGGGGCCATGACTTGCCCGAAGAAGTGCTCTTTCGTGTAAGACCATAGAAAAGTGACAAGTTATACAATTAATAATAATATTTGTTTTTTAATCCTGCAGATCTTTGAACATGTTGTCGATAAGGAGGGTTGCTTGCCTACGCTCTTTCGCCTCGGGCGCGTCTGCTCGTTATGGAGACAGGTTTCGCTTAGGCCCACACTGTGGCGCACAATGGACTTGACCACCTGGATCAAGGAGAAATATCGGACGGAGCTCAAACTAAAATGGTTTGTGGATAATCGATGCAGTGCGTGCACTGAACTTAATGTTTGTAAGTATTTTGCTGAGTGGTATCAATAATAAACAATTATTAATTGTTTATGTGAATTGCAGCCAATTGGAAAATATCGGATATCAATTGTTTTCTGGTCAAGTTGTCGAATGGGTGTCCTAATCTGACGGGCATTACGTTATCTGGCTGGAAGGGTTTCACATCGGATCATTTAACATATCTGGTTGATAATATGCAAAAGCTGCAACGCATAGACTTGAGCTCAATCAATGTAAAGAACATAACATATAATACGTTTCATATGGGACCCTTAATACTTCTATATATTCGTCTTGCAGGTCGAGATGAATGCTAGCAAGAGCGCCGTGGGCGTCAATTCGCTGTGCAATGCGTTGCAGACCATGGGCAGTCGCTTGACTCACCTTTACTTGGCACACAATCGTCTGGCGGGCATACCCAATATTGTCAGCGTTCTAGCGGTGCGTGAAAGAACTTTGTTAATGACAAATATTGTAGACTTAAAATGAATGTTTTCGGTTTATGAGTTATCAAAGTGGCTGAATCACTTAGGCAACTCAGCAGCGTGTTTCGAATGCAGTCTTAGCCATAGCTCTTAGTTGCTTTTAGTTTAGCTTTGTATAGTCAACTTCTAATGACATACATTCTAATCAATTAAATTACAGGCGCATTGTCCAAACTTGGAGCTCTTAGATCTCTCAAATGTGACCACTCAGGCTACATCGCACGGCGTGCTATACATAGAGAAGCTGCAACATGGATGTCAAAAGCTGAAGGTTCTACGCGTTACCAATTCACACATAACGCCGAGTACAGCCAGCATGCAGGAGATTGTATGTATCGAGTGATTACTGTACTCAGTCAATTTTTAAGTCAACTTGATTTACGTTGCAGATGGATTCGCCGGGTTTCCCGAATCTCGAGGAGCTTTCAGTGGCTGCGTTGACTGATGAATCTCGTATCATCAGTGATGACCATTTGCAGCGCATCTTGAAGAGTAGCTCCAAATTGAAGCTGCTCGACGTACGCAATTGCACACGACTAACACACGAGAGTTTGATACGTTTGCCAGCCTGGGACATTAAGCATTTATTTCTCTCGGGCTGCTCGGTGACACGTGATATGGGGTGGGTAGTCAGAACAAGATTCCCTTATAAAAGTATATTAATAATGTATGTATATTGTCCAGATCGGGTCTGGAACTCATTGCGTCAAAGTGGGCGCATAGTCTCATTGAACTTGATTTGGCCTGGGCAAACGTACAGCAGCCCATAGATAATGCCCTGCGTGCCCTGGCTGAAAAGGGCAAGGAATCGCCATTGGCGTAAGTTTTAGAATATTTAATATTGTATATAGGATTTTGGAATGACAATTCTATATTCTCTTATTACAGCCACTTGAATCTGTGCGGCTCTTCTGTATCCGAGGAGGCGGTTAAGGAAATACTCACGAATTGTGTGCACATGAGCTCAATTAATTTGGCGTCGTGTCGCGGCTTGCCACGCGGCGTTAAGCGCCTTATGCAGGGACCACAGGAGCTGCACGAACTGCGCGAGGTACTCGGCGTACAACTGAAAGTGCAGTAGAGACTATAACTAGAGTGTGCAACAATATCTCCTTCAATTGAAGTTGTGCATTATGTTACAATTAGGAAAAAGGACAGACAGAGAGAGATAGAGAGAGTGTGTAACGAAAGCGTTAGGTGTTTTGTGGTTTCTGTTTTCCACTATAATGCAATAGTCGAAAATCGCTTCGTATCTTCCAATTTCATGCTTCAATTTGTTTTCTAGGCCCGCGCACCTTTGTGTTTTGTAAATGCAATATATATGTATTCATTAATTAATTGATAACGAAAAGTGAAAAACTTATATATATATAAATAATACAGTGATGTTTAGATGATTTTTTTTACATATATATTTGAATATATATGTATATATATATATTGATTAGAGATCGTAGTTAAGACACTAAAGAATGACCACTGTATGTTTGTAAAGTATGTATGCATATTTAAAATTAAGTTTACAACTAATTTGTATGTTTTTTGCAATACAAAACAATTGAAAATTTATAAAAAAAAAAAAATCGTGAAGAAATAATGATTAACAATAAATAGTAGTCGTCAATTTGAATGTCACTAAGGCAATTTGTAGAACGTTTTAACCCTCAGATCAACATTGTAAATAAGTATATTGGCGCTTAAGTAAACTTATTTCTTGATTGAAATCGGACGATTTCATACACACACATACATATATTAAAAACAATTCAATTGTTAAGCATTATTAGTAGTTAAGAGAAGGCAATTAAAGGTACATTTAATTTTAAAATAAAAACAAATTTTAATATCCTGCGAATCAGTCTTGTCAATCAAAGATGTTGAATGATTCCGAAAATGTTTTTACTTTTACTATCCATCGAAATATTACAATTTTTTTTAAAGCTCCATTATTTTTTTCCAATTATTTTTGTATTTTATAATAAGATTTTTCGATATAAAAAAGTTGCTAAAAAAAATAAAACTAGAAACATGTATAAATATTAATATGAATTTTATAGTTTTATTTTCGCTAAACCAAATTTCATTCGCTACTTTCTATAGTCAAATTTAATATTGAAAAAGAAATAGAAAATTGTATTTGTGTATTACTTACAAAACTTTTATTTCGCTTATATATAATATTCCTGGAAAGTATTTAAAATCATAGTGCATTCATTTATTGTTTTTCACTTAATAATTTTTTATTGATGTTGCGACCGTAACTATTTTTGTAAATTATAAATTAAGAGCGTTTAAAAATCGGGCAAACACTTTACAAAAAACTAGTAGACAACATAAATCGCCTTTACCATGCACATATGGATATATATTAAATATTATACATCCATTGCCATTGCCCTCTAGTTCTTCTTTAGATTGTCCAGATCGCGAATGTAATCGGTGCCAATTTTAACGATGGCAGCACCAGAGCCGATGCCGGCGATCGTTGCCAGAAGTGCATTCTCCTTGGGCAAGGCAGACTTGATCAACGCCCAGGCGAGCACCGAACCCATGCTGAAGAGTGTGGCGCCTAGCAGGGCGTATGCTGCACGTTTGTTGTTCTTAATATCCTTCAAATGTGGCCGACCGTATATGTAGAAGGCGCTGCCGACGATTGCGGAAATTAGGAAAACATTTGTTAAATCCTTTTTCGGCAATAGTTTAGGTACAATCTGCGGATTCATCACGTTGACGCTGAGCGCTCCATAGCTCACGACTCCGTGCAATGGTATGTAATAGTTGAAAACGTTTTCTTTGGTGAAGGGCTTTAAGCCGACCTTCTCGCAAATAGTGCAGATGTCCTTATTTTGTGTGCTAGCCATTGTTTGTAATTTTTTGATATACAAATGCAGTAAAAAGTTGCTGCTCTCTTCAGTTATGTAAAGAACAGTGTTGTCGAATGTCGCAATTAAAATTAACTGTGCCGGTTTTTTTGTTCGTTTAAAGCTGTGTCAATTCTACATAAAACAATAGTCTATAATATAAATTTTTTATGTTTGTTTACAAAATGATTTGACTAAATATGCAATGTGAGTGGTAGTAATAATAGTAAAACTTTGCGAATGACCTGAAAGCCGGCACTTGAAAAACATGGTGGCAAGTTGCGATAGCATGTCCATGTCTGTCATATGAAATTCATATATTACATGCATATTAAAATTTCCCAATAAGTAGATGCAACTTTATTTTGCATTTAATAGTTGATTTAGTAATATTAAATATTAAATAGTTGCTGTAAATTTGTTCAAATTTGGAGTCATAGCGTTGCCACAATTGTATTTTTATTGCTATCAATTGCATTTTGATCCAATCATATCGATATAAATTCATCGTAAAAGAAATTATCGTTCATTGGCCGAAAAGCATATTAAAGTGTTGAGTTTTTATTTTACAGCTAGGATAAGAAATAAATTAATGCGCGTATTTAATGTGCAGCAGGAGACAACAAACACGTAAATATAACACAAAATACAGGCAACAACGACAGCTGAAGCTACGGCCGTGTAAGACATGTTGACGCACAAAACTTGCCAGGCACGAAAAAAAATGCAGGTGAGCTAATACGAATATCCCCAATAAGAAACACCGGGTCCCTAACAATGCAAAAGGTTAAGGAGTATTCCTTATTATTCATTTAATGACAAATTAATTCTGATTATAGGATATTGAGTTAGATTTGTATTAATATTCTCTTCCTTGCAGGTTTCCTTTGTCATACGAGACGCGGAAGAAAAACAGCATAGGAATGGCGTTAATGCTCTGCAACTGGATAGCAACAATGGCAAACTATATTCGGCTGGACGAGATGCGATAATACGTGTCTGGAATACACGCACCGAATCCAACGAGAAATATATACAATCAATGGAGCATCACAACGATTGGGTCAACGATATTGTGCTCTGCTGTAATGGCAGAAATTGTAAGAATGCAACCCCCAAGGCGAACGTTAACTAATGACTTATCTTTTTATGCAGTGATCAGTGCCAGCTGTGATACAACTGTTAAGGTATGGAATGCACACAAGGGCTTTTGTATGTCCACCTTGCGTACGCACCGAGACTACGTGCAGGCATTAGCCTATGCCAAGGATCGAGAGCAGGTGGCCAGTGCTGGTTTGGATAAGGCCATATTTTTATGGGATGTGAATACATTAACTGCTTTAACTGCCAGCAACAATACCGTTACAACCTCTAGTCTAACAGGCTCGAAGGACTCCATCTACAGCCTGGCCATGAATCCCTCCGGCACGGTCATTGTCAGCGGCTCCACCGAGAACATATTAAGAATCTGGGATCCACGAACCTGCATGCGCAGCATGAAGCTACGCGGTCATACTGAGAACGTGCGCTGCTTGGTTGTATCGCCCGATGGCAATCAAGTGGTCTCTGGTAGCTCCGATGGTACCATCAAAGTATGGAACTTGGGCCAACAGCGCTGCATACAGACGATTCATGTGCATAAGGAAGGCGTTTGGTCGCTGCTAATGAGCGAGAATTTCCAATATATTATCTCGGGAAGCAGGGATCGAAATATCATTGTGACGGAAATGCGTAATCCCAGCAATAAGATGCTCGTGTGCGAGGAGAAGGCGCCCGTGCTCAGTCTTGGATATAATATAGACAAAACTGGCGTGTGGGCAACCACCTGGAATTCTGATATACGCTGCTGGAAGCTGCCCATGTATGATCGTTGTGTGCTCAGCTCTGGCGGCATGGATGCCCAGTGGACGCTAGGTGGCACGGAATTGGCCTGCATTAAGGGCGGAGCTGCTATTAAGGAGTGTACTGTACTGAATGACAAGCGCCATATCATAACAAAAGACTCACAGGATCAGGTCGTGGTCTATGATGTATTGCGTGTTATCAAAAAAGAGGAACTGGGTGTGGTTGACTACGAGGAGGAGGTAAAGAAGCGGAACAAACAAGTCTACATTCCAAATTGGTTTACGGTTGACCTTAAAACTGGCGTACGTAGAATTATGTTAGCGTGATGCAATTGACTAACTACATTTTAATTTTACACAGATGCCTACGATAGTTTTAGGTCAGGAGGAGGTGGATTGCTTTGCTGCCTGGGTATCCATAGAGGCAGGATTGCCTGAATGTGATGATCCAACAACTGAGATAAAGGTATGGATATACATTATAATTGTATTTTCTATGTAAATATGAATATTTCCACAGATAAATTATGGAAAATTACTTTTGGAAGCCTTGCTCGAGTACTGGACGCCACCACATAGTATGCCGCCCAATGAAATGGAGCCCGACGTACGAGGCAATGGCTATTTTCAAGTGCCCAAACACACTCCTGTCATATTTAGGTAAACGAACACGAAGCACCTAAACTAATTAGTTAATTTATAAAAATGTATTGCTCTTGCAGTGAGGTTGGCGGCCGCACAGTGTGTCGCCTGTTGGTGCGAGATGCAGCTGGCGATAGTGAGAGCACGCTGCTGCATGAGACGGCGCCACAATGGGTGACAGACGTTGTGATCGAAAGGAATATACCCAAGTTCCTTAAAATACCCTTCTTCCTGCAGCCACATCCACAAATGACCAAACCAGAGCGTACCAAAAAGGTTAGTAAAATGAGCCCTTTAAGATGAACAGCTTTCACATTCTTCTATATTTGTTGATTAGGATCGTCTGGTGGCCAATGAGTTTATACAATGCCGCAAGGTGTGCGAGCATGTGCTTGAAAAGGTGCTCAATGCGGAAACAACGCCCAGCGCTGGCAATGCAAATAATTCTTTACAAAATAGTCAAAGCGATGCCAATTCTGAAGGCTCACAGCTGCCAGCAGAGGAACGCATTGAGCTGTGGTGTAACGATGTGGTAATTAGCTGCGCCGAAAATTAATGGGCATATGCTCACGCTATTCTCTCTTTGTTTCTTTGTATATAGATCGTTGATCCGAATATGGATTTGCGAACTGTGCGTCATTTTATTTGGAAGCAATCGACTGATTTAACATTTCAATATAAAACCAAGCAAAACTTTAACTTTGATGGTAAATAATGCATATCTGCAGTAGAACACACAAAGCACACACACACACATACACATACACACACACAAATACACAAACAGAGAGTATTTTTAATTTGTAACCTAATTATAGTTAAGACTTATATGTACATTCGTTCAATCCTAGGTTCAATCGGTGATAGCCTGGAGCGTGTGACTCGCAAATATTGAGCTACAAATTTCAGCTACCAGAGTTATTGTGCTTTAACTAAAGGCGTTGCTTTCCACAGACGCGTGTGATTTCTAACTTTCTAATCTGTTTGTTATTAAATGGGCCAAATTTGTCAAGTACGCCTGTTTTTAATCTGATGTGAATTGGATGAACATCAAAGTTTCAATTTGAGTTGAATTCACAGAAACCATTTGAAACGAATTCAAAGAAGTATATATTTATATATACAACATAGATCTTATATCGTACACCTTTATATCGTACTAAACCATTTGCATAAACAACACACATCTTATATATATATATATATATATATATATATATATATATATTCATAAAACCAGTTAGAGATCAATGCATATTATGTATATGTTGTATATGTCTTGCGCGACATTATTTAGTTGTTTACTTATTAAAATTACATAATATTTTAGCTCTAAGTATTCTGTTATATGATAAATTAAAGAAAAAAAAAAAACAAAACAATTCAATTGTAGAAAAAAAAAAAATTAAAAGTATGTATGCAAGCCAACTTGTACATTGTAAGTAAATCGAAGAAAAAAATTACAGAAAAATCGAATCAAAACATCACATTCTATTATTTGGTAAACAAGCCTGCCTTGAATCTTATTCGAGGAATCCTTTATATTAAATCACCGAATATTATACGCTACTAATAAGATGCGCTTAACTCTGATATAATTCCACATCCCACAGCCAGTTTAGCAACTGGTCATTCAGCGTCCAAGCTATTAATGGAGAGAAAATAACTGAGAATGTCAAAGAAAGAGGAGCAAAGCCGACCGGGGGTAAAGAAAGCTATGCGTATGAATGATATAAAGGTATGACTATATTATAATTATATTTTGTATGTATGTACACAGATAAATTATGGAAAACCTCTTTTGGAAGTCTTGCTTGATTATTGGACGACCCAGTGAGGTTGGCGGAATATACCCAAGATTCTTAAAATACCCTTCCTTCAATAATAATGATGAATTTTAAAAAAGAAGTTAATTTAATTCATTTTAAATAACCATTTGTCTATATTTTTGAAACAGAATCGTCTGGTGGCCAATGAGTTTATACAGTACCGCAAGAAAGTATATACATATATTTATAGGTCTTATATCAAACACCTCTTTATCAAAATACACAATTTTCATAAACTATTTGTTTAAAAAGCCAGTATGGCTTTTGCTACCCACTGCACTACTTAATATAGAATCTTAACATAATTGTATCCGTATATATGCGAGGAATCCTTTATCTTCGATTTATCATACGCAGTCTTCTCTGATGCGCCTGTCTGCAATAGGTATTGATAGTCCTTAGCAAGAGTAGCAACTGTTGCTTTAGTGTCGTGGGTATTAAATAGTTATTAATGAGAAGTTCTGGTGTATTGCATGTACGCTTAAGCCATCGTACAATTAGCCATAAGCAATTCTCCTTCAGAGTACGCATTGGAAAATGGATGAGCACCTGGCTGCGTGCATCACATAGTTCATCCGGCTGTTGGGGATTCCTTGGCACTCGTATGCGTATGGGATAAAATAACCGCTTCGATCGCACATGCATACGCTCGCCGGTGTAATAGTCACAAAAGAACCATATGTGTGTATTATATGTATTTACAGGCACGCCCTGATTCGGCTTTAGTGTTAGTTGTATGTTCTGGGTGTTCGGATCACTTGCCCAATATAAATCGAGAGTTCGATTTGTTGTGTTCACAAAAAGCACGTATACCTCGACTTCTTCCTGCGGCGGTACATTAAATAGTTCACCCCATTCCCCATTGTTCCGTGCCACCTGCAGTGTCATCTTGGACAGTTTTTATCATATGCTTTAACGTTTGTAAAAAATATTCAATTTCTTTAAAGCGTACAAGTGTTTTTATGTGTCTTCTTCTAAAATTACCATTCACAATGCACTTTCGCTAATTTCATTAGATTTTAACAAGTTGGCAGCTTCGACTGTTTGTTGACAAACTGCACGTAGACTGCTAGCAGTGTGCATACAATACTTGGTACTAATAGTCTGTGTGCGTGTGTGTGTGTGTGTGCAGTTGAATCTTGTGTAGAGTCGATTATACATACTTATTTGAAAAAATAGTTCAATCTTACATTAGTTTTTATTTTCCTTGCAATTTGCCTAGTTCGTAAACATGTTTTTGTGTATCTTCTTATCTAATTGCCATTCCAACAGAACGCATTGTATTTCACACACACCTTCAACAACTGATTTCTAACAGCTGTTCGTGGAACGTAAATAAAATACAAACAAAATTTTTCACAATGGCATTTTGTATTGCTGTAATTGGCAAAGACGTAAGTTGTGCTTAATAGCAACTAAATAATAATATGTATTCTGTTATATCTCTATTAAATATTATACATTTAGAATGCTCCGCTGTACTTGGCCACATCGGATGTGGAGCGTGAGCTGGATCTGCAATATCATGTTCATGCGGCACTTGACGTTGTAGAGGAGAAATGTGTAATTGGCAAAGGAGCTCCCGAGTCCAAGGAACTCTATTTGGGCCAACTTTTTTCAACAGAGAACCATAAGATGTAATAGCTGATGGGTACAACAAAACTCAATTCCGTTAAAGAGCTACCATTTTTATTGTTTTAGTTATGGCTTTGTTACCAACTCCAAAATCAAGTTTATTGTGGTCATTGACTCCAGCAACATTGCAATGAGAGAGAACGAGGTGCGCGCGGTATGTGCAAGGGTTTCTTAGTGAGTATAGTTGATCTTAGCTATAGTAATTGTTTGCCTGTCTTGCAGATATTTCGTAATTTGCACATGCTTTACACGGATGCTGTGTGCAATCCTTTTTACATTCCGGGCGAGCAATTGACTTTTAAGTATGCAATAAATTAAAAAGTTAAATATGTAAATATATATAAAATTAATATATTCTCTTTTACAGAAAATTTGATCGAGCAGTGCAGAAACTAATGAGTGGCAATGTATAATGCTGTAAAAGAAGAGAGGATTGGAAATGAGGAAAGCAGTGATAGGATAAGAGTGGACATCGTTTAAAGCAAAGAGGAGAATGAAATAAAGAAACTTTGTATTCAACAGCAGAGGAAAGGAAAAATAGGGAAGGAAAATTGTACTTCCGAAAGTAAATAATATACAAACAAACCCATTCGGAGCTACTGCAAAGGATTGAAAGTGAAGTCAACAACAAAAAAGTTGATTGGATATAAGCGGAGAAGCATTGAATGTAAATAAATAAATTATAGGCGCCTGGAGAGGACAATATTATGCTGTATATTATATATACACAATTCGTCTTATAACTTCAACTATTTTATTCTAGTAAAGCTGTCTATATCTATCAAAATTCATTCAATAAACAGTTTGACCACACAACATATAACATAATTCCATATTTATAAACATTTCCATTATTCCTATGCTTAATTCAGATCTAATAGAGCAATTAAAGCTGATTTTAATAACAGCTTTTAAGCAGAGAGAATCGATATTTGTATTATTAATTAATGCATATATGTGTATAAATCATAAAAATAAATACTTACAAGGTCATTTTCAAAATTTAAAAAAAAAAAAAAAAATTGATTTTGTAGAAAATGTAAATTTTAATTCATGCTTAATGAGGTTTATTTAAGGAATATATTTAAGCTGACACAGTCGGTATAGCACGTTATATAAACCTGTTATTCACGTGAGATGATGCCGAAAACATCAAATTAAATTCAAATTAAATGTTTTGGTGTTAAGATTAAATAAAATATAAACATACTGGGCACACAGTAACTGAATTTTATTTATTTAGTTTTGTACAATAGAAAAATTAATAATTGATGACTGTCAAACGAAACTGATAGCAGCGAAAAAGATCATCAGTCAGGAGTGTACGACTAGAAAATACCCTCTAGACAGAATAGAGAACATTATATTCGGTACGAGGTTGTGCATGCAATTATTAAAAAAAAAGTGCAAAAAGCCTGAAAATCGAAAACCCGAACGATAAGTAATAACGATATAAATACCTAAAGGAGTCGGCCGTGCTTCTTCTCATCAAAAGTTAATATATATGTATGTCTATAACGCGTTCTTAATTAAGAAGAAAATACCTAATTATCTTAAAAATATCATTAAAAAAACATCAATAGTTATGAGATTCATATATACTTTGGTTAGTTGACAGTTAGTATATATGATATATTTAATTCGATTTCCGCTTCTTCAAAATGCCGAAAACTAGTTTTTATTTGAAAATCAAAAGAGTCAAGTTGAGAGGAGTAGATCTAATGATAAGTTTTTGTCTATTGCACAGACTTATTTACATAATCTAACGGACGAAAATGTGTATAAAAGGCGTTAACAGTCAGCGATCTGATATCAGTTACTCTTCTCGAGTCTCCCAGGAAACAACATGAAGTTCTTAGTAAGTGCTGCTTATTAATATATCATTCATTCATATCATATATAAATTATTATGTTCTCTTTCTTCAGATCGCTTTCGCCTGCCTGTTGGCTGTGGCCTGCGCCAATGAAAGTGCTGATGTCCTTTCTGACGCAAGAAAGCTCGACATCGAAAGCTTCGAAACTGCATTTAAACTCTCGAACTCGATTGAATCAGAACAAAAGGGTATTCTGGATGGTCCAAACTGGAAGGTTACTGGACAAAATAGCCATGTCTCTCCCGAGGGTGAGAAAGTTTACGTTCAATACGTCGCCGACGAAAATGGCTACAGGCCTGTTGACGCTTATCCCCCACTGCCAACCCCACCTCCAATCCCAGAGGCAATCCAGAGGGCCATTGATTATATCAAGGCCCATCCGATCCCTGAAAATCAGAACTAAGTTTTTCTGTTTTGTTAATAAATGAATATTGATATTATTGAACGAAAATATACTGAATCGTTTTCTTTTGTTAACGTAAGGAAAGCAGGATCTGAAAACGTTTTCCACTAAGCACAACAAATAATACCTCTATTCCAATTACTGATATTTCCACTACTGGAACAGATTCTCACTACTATAAAATATAAATATTTTCTTACTCTGTTATAATTTCAGCTTTAATATCTCCTTATGTTTTTGCTGTCTCCCCAAGCAATATGATAATGCACATAAATTTTGTGCATGTTTTAATATATTCTAATACATACATATTTCTTTTCCGTGATTGCATCTGATTTTGTTGCCAGCGACGTAGACTCTCAAAAAGAGTAAGGAAAACAAGTTTAACAAAAATGAATGCGTTGCCATGCAAATTAGTTTCAAATTACGATTAATGAGATTTTCGTTTTCGTTCGTGAACTTGACCTTTTCATATTTTTATAGGTCAGCTTAGCTGTAGAATATAGAAAATGTAGTAAACTACATTATGTAGATAATTCAAACACTTATTTGATTATTTCCATTTCTTTAAAGAAAATGGGTTATTTTCGTTTAAATGTAATAAAATATGTAATAAAAAAGAATTTAGTATAAGATTAAACAAATTTGAGAAAAAAATTGCAAGCTATTTCCGCTTTGTAATCATATTTATTTTGTTAAATTATTTCATACGTTTTATTTTTAGTTCTATAAAAATATAGGCTTTTTGAGTAGCAAGCTTTGGCAATCTGTTGGCGAAAAAACCGCTAATAAATATAACGTATTTATTAACAATACTTCATATGCCAATAAACAGAAATATGTTAACTACTAATGTTAACTAACATATCTTAGAAACATTAATTAATGATGTCAATGGTATATGTTAACGTACATTATTATGTTAACAAACTACTAACATGACCAACATTATTATGTTAACTTAAAGTTAACTTACATTACTATATCCACCCACTGTTAACTAACAGTGCACTCAAAGTCACCTAAAACAATTATTTTAAAGAAAAATTGTCGGTAGAATAGCTAGCAGTGCAGCTAACATTAAAAAATGTTTAGGTGCTCGTAGTAAAAAAAAAAAGATTTCTTTAAATTTACAGTGCTGCCCTCTAGAGTATGCAATGGAAATGCACTTTTCGATATCTCAGCACAAAAGTATGCAACAGTTTTATAGCAAATTTTTGTAGCTACTCCCGCTGCCCTCGGGAGTATGCAAGAAAAACACATTTTTGACATTACAGCACAAAATTATGCAACATTTTTATCTGTTGGTTGTGAACTTTGCTAAATGCAATGAAAATTAGCAAAGTTCACAACCAACTGAATGATAATAAAATATGTAGCATAATTTTATGCTGGAATGTCAAAAATGTGTTTTTATTGCATATTTCCGAGGGCAGCGGGAGTAGCTACAGAAATTTGCTATAAAACGGTTGCATAACTTTGTGCTGTAATGTCAAAAATGTGTTTTTCTTGCATATTCCCGAGGGCAGCGGGAGTACCTACAGAAATTTGCTATAAAACTGTTGCATACTTTTGTGATGAGATGTCGAAAAGTTCATTTCCATTGCATACTCTAGAGGGCAGCATTGTAAATTTAAAGAAATCTTGAATTCGCGATAGGGGAATTTGCGCTAAATCCAACTATAGACGCATATGGGTCCTGCAAAATCGAGTTTTGCGTCAAATCACAAACTGCCCATGGTATGTGCGCGGCTCTACTGTGCATAGAGACCTGAAACTGTTTACAGTGGAGGAACAGATTGGGAAACACACTAGCCGATATAGTGACAGACTGGCTAGACACCGGAGCAAAATACTATGCTAACTGTAGATTGCTGCAGATAGATCACTTAGCATTTTGCCACCAGTGCAAAGTGAATGCTGCTGCTGGCAACTAAAGCCAACATCAATTATCTGGCCAAAAGCTGAAGCGCTGGCGCGTCTGTAAAAGTGATCTTAGGCGATGATCAAGGCAACATTATTAACGTCAAAGCTGAAGTTCGACATCGTCAAATGTCAAAACAACAACAACTTTTACTCAGTGCAGGCAGTGGAGGCAGGCTTGTTTGGTGGTCGGACCTAGTCTGGTTTGGCCTGATCTTGTTTTCCAAAGCACGTAGCAGCTAATCGCATCAGCAACTCAAACAACTGAAAACCTATTGACGGAGTGTAAGCGAATACTAATTTTCCAACATATTGCTAAGAGAGCTGCCAAAACGTCAACTCAGACGCCAGCCGCAGCGCCAGCGTCAGATGTCGAGGCTGTCGATCATTCAGAGCTCGGTCATCAAAGTACATCAGCTGTGAAATGATTTATATGAATTGACCATGGCGGACATTAACATGCGAGCAAGGCAATGAAATGAGAAATAAATATTTACAAATGTTGTTATAATATAAATTGAAGTGATAATCAGTAAACATATTGATAATACAAATGATTATTATACTGTGGTAATTAATAATAATAATAAAATTTCAGAAACTAGATATAACATATAACAAATAACACGTCAATATTTGGCATATATAGATTTTGGCTAGATATACACAATGAATATATGTATGTAATATATATATGTAATACTGAAAAATAGTCCAAGATTACGGAAAAGAATTACCTTAATAAGAATCAATTATAATGTTATTTTCTTTATAGTAGTAGTCCAGCAGCTAATTAACGGAACAGCTGTCGACCACATCACTTCATATTCTTCTGTGACTAAATTATGAGGGCAATATTTTAGTGAGAGCATTCGCAACAAATCAAAACAAATGACCAATATGTCATATATGACGTCAAAATTGTCTCTTTTTCCCCAGATACTAAATCATAATTCAAACAAAATATTTATATAGATATGAATATAGGGGACAAACAGATATACAATATCCTAATGGTAAATATAAATCAATTAAGTTCCATTTATTATTGCCGTAAAATAGAAATGAAAAAAAAAGCAGGCATTAATTATTACTGCCGTTTAGAAAAGCTAAAAATTTAATTTTAAATTTAAAGAATTTTCGAATCGCTTATAAAATTTTTCGCTTCCTCTGCGTGTGCATGTGTGGGCGTCATTCTATGGATTTTGTTGATTTTTCTGAAATTATTGCTAGTGGGTAAATGGGGTCTATTAGAATAAGATAAGGGTATCAAATCGTGGCAATGTATACTGTATACATCTATGTATATGGTATATATTTTTATTATTTTTAAGGATCTCTCTCTCTCTCTCTCTCTCTCTCTTTTCCTCTCTATATTTCTGCCTGCATGCATTTTCCAGGGTATTTTGTAGTTCATCTAGACGACTCTTGCATGCTGGCCTATTATATGTGTGAAACCAATTAATTAATTCATTCAGCTATTTGATTATATGATAAAATTATCATGTTTTACAAAGCTTGTTTGTGTGTGTGTGAGTGTATGTTCCTCTCGCTGATTGATTCGCAAAGTAAATCACAGTGTGGAATGGCAATTGGGAATCTAATTCAATAATTATCGCGTGCCGTTATAATAATACACTGCTACACAATTCGATATGACATTTCGATTAAGAAGCTACTTCTATAAGGTTTCTATTAATATTTAATTATTATTAAAATATTCATTTTGATTCATTTCATTTAAAAATTAACTGTTCACGTTATATTATTAAGATAATTTACTTTTAATTTAATTTTTCATTAAATTAAACTTTGATAGGCTGTGCCTAATTAAGTAACTTAACTAATCTAACTAGCAATAAAAAGTGCTGCCAATTTTGTTGCATACTCCTGAAGCTCAATACGAGCTCAAGTGCTGCCCATGAAAAGGCAAGGGATTTTTTGTGAAAGTAAGGAAATTTATTTTTGTTAGCTGCAAACTGTAAGATGTAGATAAATTGCCTCCAGTGCTGCTCATTTCCACTTTGATCTTCTCGGTCCTTATCCAAGAACAGTTTTGTCCTTTTTTTAGTTTTCATAATAACAATATAATAATTATTTTCTTATTGTTCTGTTTCAGCATTTGAAGTTGAACGCGTATTGCCAACACTTTTCTTGCAGTGTTGTTTAAATATAATCGTTGTGCTCCACGTTAAGCTTAGCAAACCACTACAAAACAAATGGAAAAACAAAAAATAAATCCAAATTGTTCTTGCGGTGTGCCGGCCTGGCCAGCAGCACAGTAAACATGGCCAAATGCTCGATGATTTTACAGTGTTTTTCAAAATTTTTAAATGTATACACACACGCACACACACATATACTTATGTGGGTGTGTGTTGAGTGTGTGTATTGCGATTATTCTTGTTGTGCTCTTATTTTCGAAATACTGTTGAAAACCATAAATTAGCTTGTTACTTTTGGAATGCAGCATTCAGTGACGTGTTTTTGTGTGTGTGCGTATGCGTGTGTGTGTGGGTGGATGGCTGTGTGTGCTTTTAAGCATATCAAGAAATAAGGAACTAATTCAGTTGGGCGCACAGTCTTTAGCGTTGATCCGTCGGGTGAAGAACAAAGCAGAGCATCAAAAACTAAATAAATAAACATGGATGTGATTGTGCGTTTGAGATTATTCCAATAATTTGAAGGGCACATTCTGATTGTGTGTGTGTGTATTTCGATTTGCAGGATGATGATCTTACACCTGAGCAGATTGCCGTGCTGCAGAAGGCCTTCAACAGCTTCGATCATCAAAAGACTGGCAGCATACCCACCGAAATGGTTGCCGATATCCTGCGTCTCATGGGCCAGCCCTTCGACAAGAAGATTCTCGAGGAGCTGATCGATGAGGTCGATGAGGACAGTAAGTGAAGATTAACTACGATTTACTTTCAATTTGCCTCATTATACTCGCTCAAAGGGGTGAGAAGGGTATATTCAATTGCTGATGATCTCTGAGTTTGGTTGCGTTCTGGAACTTTGAGTGTCCTATACCAAAATTTATACTATTGAAAATTGGGATAATATTTGGGTTCTCTCTACAGTTCATCATAGCGATATCTTGATCATCTTCTTCTTTTTGATATATTTATTTATATTTCTATTCCCCTTTAGAATCGGGCCGCCTGGAATTCGAGGAATTCGTGCAGCTGGCAGCCAAATTCATTGTGGAGGAGGATGACGAGGCCATGCAGAAGGAGCTCCGTGAGGCCTTCCGTTTGTACGATAAGCAAGGCAATGGCTATATTCCCACCTCCTGCCTGCGCGAGATTCTGCGCGAGCTGGACGATCAGCTGACAGATGAGGAATTGGACATTATGATTGAGGAAATCGATTCTGATGGCTCCGGCACCGTGGACTTTGATGGTAAGATTTCCAACAATTAGCAGCTATGCAGCAGCTGTCAAAATATTAACAAAAGAAATACACTTGGCCAAATGCCAGATACAAATGACGGCCATGGCGACACCATTTGTCTACTTCCTCTCCATGCCTCCATCTCCGCTCCTATCTCTCGCTCTCTCTCTCTCTCTCTGTCTTTCTGTCTCTATTGTTCGGTTGCCCTTGTCTATTTCTGTACTCAGCTATTTGGTCGTCTATATCCATGGCTGTAATTTTATATCTCTATGTATGTACAATATACATTTCAGATTCTAATGTATCTCTTCCTCTTCTCTTTTACAGAATTCATGGAAATGATGACGGGCGAGTAAGCCAAACAGCTTTGCGCGCTAGCAACAAATCAACATTTCTACATTTTTACCTAACCGAATGCACAAGAGTCTAAAATAAAATACATTCATACACACACACACACAACCAAATATGTATAAATCTATTGTTGGTGATTGATTGACTGATCTAAGAACAGATCTAAAGGTCTTATATATTTAAAGCTATTAAGTTTTAAGGTTACACTTTTAAATTTAGCCATAAATCAAGTAGAGGAAATTCTTTATGATTATCATGTTAGCACGATTGATTGATTGAAGTATTGCTTTGATAAGTTAATACGATGCAATTTTTAGAAACTATGGAGTCAGAACTCAAACTGAGTTATATACATATATATAGACACCGCGGCTCAAGTAAGACTTTTGCTATTGATTGAGTGCTTCATTGATTGAACACTAACATGTATACTAAAATTATTTTTTAAAATTGCTTAGGCTATAGATAGAAACTCAATTTAGTTAGTTATAAGTGAAATAAAATAAACAAATCTTTAGAGAACTCGAATTGAAAGTACATTTGTTTGAGGCCGTGCAAAGCCAGCCAATCTCACAAGCTCAGAGCTGAACTGCTTTACGTTTAAGCCAAGCATTGCACAACTCGCGATGAGTTCTAATAATTGCATTAAAACTAATCAATTCTCAAACAGGAACTATTTAAGCTAACGGAAAACCCAGACTAAGGCAGAGATAGAGGCAGATGTACATATAGTGATAGAGATGGAGGCAGAGAGAGGGGCTAGGCAGGTCTATAGGCAGCGGCAGAGGCGGCGGCTTGCCACTTGCCTCACTCATCGAAATTGCATGACTCACGCGGGTCAATTAAGGTCCGCAAACAAATGATTATGAAAACAGCTTTGAGCTCTCATTGATCAGATATGCATTAACTCATTTGTGTGCTAATTCGGTGTTAATTTGGCAAGGCCAACGTGGCGTATGATTAACATCTGCACGCCCAGCCAGCCAGCCAGCCAGCCAGCCAGCTAGCCAGGCAGCATATATCACGTATACGCATTGTCTCCAACTGCGTGCAAATTCCTTTGCCACTTGGCTGACCTTCTTCGTGGGTTACTGAATGCTGCAACGGGCTGAAAGACATTTGTTGGCCAAAGCTGAATACTCTTACTGCGAGTCGCTTGGTCTAGTTGAAAAACTAGGCTCTAGCCTATATAATTGTTAAAGTATCGAAATTTTGGGTGCATATCTTGTTTTGTTTCTTTACTCCATTCTAAGTGTGTTTCTTTACAAGTTGTAAGTGTATTTGATATTCGTCTATTAGCTGATTCAACTTCTTTTGTCTTTTTGCTCTCGTGTGTCTCACAGTTTGTTGGCTCAATAATTGAATTGCAGCCAGAACAAATAAATTGGCCAAAATGCACTTTGGATGCAGCTTGTTGCATTGCTTGGGCGTGAATGGGCACAGAATGAAAGAACATATGGGGTATACTGGGCGAATAGATGCCCTGTGAAATTACAGGGTATTGCACGATCCAGTGATATATACATTGTCGATACACCTACAGCATATGCTAACTATAAATCATATATATGGTTGATATGCCTGATTTGTAGTATGATTACAGAGTATAACAGCTTCTCATATGTTACATATTATTATCAGTTATGCAAGGTAAAATATATCTCATAACTATATATTAGACATGCAATTCATCTACCCCATGCGTCACTTGGAATTACAGGGTAGATTCTGTGTTGCCATATGACAAATGTTGCACAAAACGACAAAGGAAAATATATATATTGAAGATGTTGACAACATGTGGCAAATGCTCGTCTTCAATTGTTGCTCGGCTGCCAAGTTTGCCAGCCTTTCTAAATCACAACAAACAGCAACAACAACAACTACTATAGCAACAACAAATAACGATTCTTCAAATGTCAATGTGCATTCCCTAAGTTGGTTACGCTCAGTTATAGGTATACACAAATATATCATGACTATACATGTATATGAATGTGGCTTGCATGCTAAAATGCTCTGTATTTATATGAAATGTCAGCAGAGAGTAGTTAGACTAAGTCCTATTTATACAAGAAGTAAAAGAGTTCTTCTTTAAACTTAGTAGTAACAGTTCAATTATTCCAACATTGGTTTTCGTTATTTACTAGATCTATCTCTTTTCTCTCAGCTTAGGGTATCTTTGTCTCAAGCACTCCCCTTTAGAAACACTCTCACATCCCACTTGGCCACAGATGAAGCCAAATGACAATATTGTGGCCAAAAACTTTAGCAAAATTTCGCGAGCAACTGCCCTTTGAGCTATTGCTGTTGCTGTTGTAACTAGTTGTTGCTGTTGTTGCAACTAGTTGTTGTTGCTGCTGCTGTTGTTGGGGTCAATATAATTTGGCAATTTTGTCGGCTGGCCGCAGGCTACATTTGGGTGTTGCTGTCGATATTAATGATATTTATGACCAGCGCGTTTTACAAAAGGTCAGACGAAATAATTGCTCAATATACATATATACATATATTTTCTTAAATTTCTAAACAGAATTTCAACGCCTCAAAGGGTCAGCGTGTAGATTTATTGACATCCGTTTCATAATGAAGCTGCAAAGTTGCTCAAATGCAATGAAATGATGCTGTTGCTGTTGCTAAGGTTGTTGTTGTTGCTGTTGAAAACGTGCAAACGTTTTAAATGGGATGCATTTGGAATGGGATAACTGAAAATGGGATGGGAGAGAGAAAGAGAGCGGGAGAGCGCGCGCGGCGAAGCGTTCAGCTTCGATTGGGCTTCAATTTATGAGCGCAAACACTTAACAACTGTTAGCTGGGCAACTGCCAATTGCAACTGACTAAATTAAAGATGCGCTCAAGAGTGAAGAGCGCAGCGGGTGTGTGGGAGAGAGCCATTCTTGTAGAGGATAGTGACGAGTGCGGAGAGTGGAGAGCAGGAGAGAGCGCTAGTTAATGCTATTCTTGTTGTTGATAGTGGTGAGAGCGCCCTAACTGTAAAGGCGTGAGGAGTGAGGGAGAGCGAGAGAGAGAGCAGCAGCTAATGCTATTCTTGATAGTGGAGACTGAGCAGAGTGGAGAGCTTGTAGCTGCTGCTGTTGCTGCTGTTGTTGTTTTTGCTGCTACATTGAGCAAACGCCAACACAATGGCCACAGCCGGAGACTTTGCTGTCGTGTCTGTCTCCCTTTTGGCATGCAATTGTTTTTGCCAGCTGTGCGGCACAACACATACACATGCATACACACACATATATATACGCTTGCAATAAATGCCATAAAGTATCAAAATCTCCGCTCAGGCACAGCCTCAGACTCTGCCTCAGCCTCAGCCTCAGCTTCAGCTTTAGCTTTTTTCGTTCATTCCATTCCATTCCATTCGATTGCATTTGGCGCCCCAAACGATCTCGTGCTGCATTTGTATAAAAGCCGAAGAACCTGCACTCGAATCGGCGCACAAGTTCCGTGACAATAGACGAGGCCACAACGACACAGCGATTCGCGACAGTTATAAATAGACTTTGAAGGATTCTCCATATTTGGATGCTACACAATTTGTGATTAGTATTTGTGCGCGTGTATGTGTGCGTGCGAGCGCTTGTGTGTTCCAGTGTTGTGCAATACCCGAAGGATACGAATTAATAATTTTTGTTTTACTGTTGCTGAAGCAAAAAAATGCAGCTGAACTTGGTGAGTTTGTAGGAAAGGGAATAATAAATAAAATAAAATGAATAAAATAAATAAAAATAATATAAAAGTACATTATATAAATTATATATGTATTCTCTCATAATTCGTTTCATATTAAATCTTAGTCATATTAAACGAATCTTCCATGAATTGTAATTGTATTCAACTAGTAGAAATATAGTAGAAATATGACAATAGGGTATACGCGACTACTCCTTTACACGACTAAGCCTTTATAAGCATACGGTTGGGAAGTAGATGTATATGTCTATAGATTTTTGATTAGACATTTCTATATTTAAAAAAATTTATATATTACAGATAAATTATCCTTATTAGAGGAGATTAAAGAATGCATACAAAACTAATATACCCCTTCTAGCTTTGCTTACACAGAGCATTTGGTTAAGATTGACAGGTTACGCTAAACATGTTTATTCTGTTCGTAAATTACATCATGAGCACAGCTGGCTAATTAACTTCGACTTCGACTTCCACAAACATTCTTCAAGCAATATGTAAGAGGCATATAGATAATGATATTAATCAAATTAAAAATCATAATTAAAAATTCTATGAAATTATACAAAAATAATAATAAAAGTAGTCGTTAAAAATAAATGGAATCTAATAAAATTTTTGTTAGTCATAAAAACAATTTTAAGTACATTAATTTGTAAAAATGTATACATACTTTATGTTAAGTTCATAATAATTAATTGAGGTCCGAATAAACCTGGATTAGGGATGCTCGCTTCTTCTTCTTAGCTGAGAAGCTAGGTGGCACTCAATAAGAGATTTAGATAACAGATGAAGATAAATGTAAACAGAAGTGAATGCCATTATTAAGATTAATATATATATATATATATATATATTATATTTTGTGTTTATGTGGTAACGGTAATTTCTTTAAAATTAAAAAAATAAGAAGAATTAGAACTTGAATTAATAGACAAATATATGTTCATATAAATATATTCATAGATATAACGTTCAGTTAGATTTTGTTTCACTATATCCAAGCTCAGCTTCTGTGAGGCGGTTCATGGATTTAATTTCGGAATATTTTTCCACTGCAAAATCATTTCGCGTTGTATGCGAACTTTTTGCCACCCGCATCAAATTCTCAGTGATTGCAACAGTCAAATAGTCTTCAAGTCTTCAATACGTTGCTCAATTGGGCGCAAATGCCGTTCTTTGCGGCACACGCAACGCGAAAGACAAAAGCCAAACGAAGTTGCTGCAACAACCTTAACTGCAACCAGCAGCTGCAACAGCGCCCAAAGATCTAAGACAAAACGCATAAATTAAAAGCCCATTAAAAAATCACAGAGCTGAGATCAGCATTTGCTTGATTCATTGATGAAAAATCAGCACGCAAAGTTGGGCAAGAGGCAGAAGCAGCAGCAACTGCAGCAGT